TAACTAAGTGCGCTGGTAGTATTGATGTGGGGTCACTAGTGTTGCTAAATAGCAGTGAAAATACATGCACATTTAAAGAAAAACTTCCAAATGTGAAGTTGCACGGGTCATAAATAAGCAGCACAGCAACTTTTGTAGATGTACTGTGATCCATAAATTTTAATGGCACTTTTTCAGAGTAGAAAAATAGAGATTTTTAAATAGAGATGTTTATCTTTCATCTGTTTGGTAAAACGATGGTTCATTAAAGGTGAACAATGGTTGGTCTAGACCATTTGAGGTCAAATTGAGCCAACTACAATGACTTTGACACCCTTGGTGTTAACTTTAAATGGTCTGGTAGAGCGTGCAGGAGGCAGAACACATGGCGTTCATTCACTCAGTGTAAATTCACTGCACAGCTGCCTCGGCTTTTCACACATGGGCATGATTAGACATTAAATTGTAATTCGCAGTAAAGAGGGATGGCAAAGAATTTATAAATCCAGCAGAACATTTGCCTTCTCGTTCTCAGCTCCACCAGGCTGTGAAAGTGCACACATGAAGGCACATTGACACTGATGAGTGGTTTTAGCTATTTCAGGAAAGAGCTGAAGAGATGCTTTATTTGTAATAAAAAAATAAAGGTTTCAGCTTTTTTTCTTTTAAATAACAAAACCTCTCCAACGTTCATGCTTACCTCGCTGACTGTGTGTGCAGCTTGTGTAAAGCTAACACCTGAACCTCTTCAGGTTCAAGCTGATCAGAAAGAAGTTTGCACCTCAGCGAATTATGTGTCCTGCTCTCTTCTGCATTTTAGAAAGGACACACCTGGAAGTAGCTTTATCATAAATACACACGCTCTCACACATGTGCATGTACAAAGCCACTATATGGTTCCCGACAGGAACATTTATGTAATGCACAATAGACAAAACATACAGAGGTCTGAAAGGACTGCCCATGTAGGGGCGTCCCACCCACGGCTGCCCTTTGTGTGTCTGTCTGTCACAGCCAACTTAAAGTACTGATGGATAAAGACGCTAAAAGTGGAGATGATGAAAGCAGAGTAACCTGTGAATGAGGGAGCAAGAAGACTGAAGACTGGTGCTTCGCTGCTTTAGTGTTAAAGCTGCTTGAAAAGCTGCCTGTTTAACAGCACAGTTCATAAAATGTTGCATTCAGCAGATATAAAATATGACACCTGAAGACGATTTGATCCAAAACATAACGAGAAGTTGTGATGTGTTCTGAGAAGTGAATACAGAGCAGTTCTCTTATTATAGTTCTCGTATAGGTTGACTGTCTTGCTGTAGTTCTCTCAGTCTATTACTGCTCTGCATGTGTTTACAAACCTACACGGCATGCTTAGCTGTTAACACGTCCTCCTCCTTTAGGGCCTATTTAACCCAAAATAATGAACCTAAAATACAACTAGGTCAAGGGGTGGACAGGTAATGGCCTTAGGCTGTTTTCACACATGAACTTCGAAGTCTGAGACGATCAAGTTGGGATATTTTCTCCACAAAGTCACTTAAATCCTAAATTTGAGCCACCTCTCATTCAAAATCATCTTCTCAGAGATGTCCAGGCAGCTTCCAACAATGAAGCGATTTTTGGAGCACGCTCCGGAGGTCCTGGCCTGGCACCTGTGATATCTCTGTGGACCTTAAACTTGCTAGCATCAATGTCTTTTTCAAACAGACAAGACTTTCATGTGGAAAATCGCTGCTGGTAATTTTTCATCATTTTGCTAGACCTACCACATTGTAAGGGAGGATTGAGGATTTGTTTTTACTTTTACAGGATTGTGCACTAAGAATTTGTACCCCAGGTTAAGTTGTTGGGGTGTTACTGCAGCATCCTGAGGGAGAACATTTGACAGCATGTCACAGTGCCATCTTGTGTCAGCACAGGGCAGAATGATTATGCAACCCACATTCGCCTTTGACTTCTCACCCAAATATGCATCCCTGTGACTTTGTCCACTTTCTGAAAATAAATCAAGTTTAAGGTTTGCTCATTTGACACTAAAGTGAATCCAGCAGATGTCACAGCGAAACAAGTCCAAGGGCCAAGGTGGCGCGCTTGAATCAAACTTCAGCTCCCTACTGTCTTTACAGCAGGTAAGGGTTTAGACGTTTGGAGAACCATCATTGAAACTTTTTGATCACACCTCACTTCATTTGCACGGGTGGAAACACTCCACGTGGTTTCGCCGGGAGGCCTAAGGCGAGGAGCCTGAGTGTGAAGGAGGCACGTACCTCCCAGTGGTAAATGCACCAGACTATTAGCAGCACCATTTGTACCTCTGAACAATCCAACATCACTCAGGCAGGTTAAATATCAGCTAATGTTCTATCCAACATAATCCCCTGCCAAGCAGAAAAGTACACTGCTGCAGTGCACGTGTGAAAGCAGCTGTAGTGTGAGCACAAGATGTACGCAGTTTAACCCAACAATCGTTTTTCTATTAAGGAGAGGGGAAGAAAACAAAAGGGAATTACAAAAGAATTAACAGAAGACTGCCTAACAGTTTTTCTCAGGTTTTAAATGATCTTTTATCCCCTTTACTAATAATCTAATAAGACTAAATAATCAAAATGAGAAGAGCAGTAAAATCTTTTATCCTGAACATGTAAGTTATTTTTATCTTATTTCTTCAAATTCAACAAATGATCAAAGCTTTGGATTAAAGATGTTCAAAAGAAAAGCAGCAGAGAAAAAGTTCGAGAACAGCCTGCAGTTTGATTCAGGTTTTCCTGTGATGGATTTCACTTTCACTTGTTGGGTGAAAGTTTCCCTCTTTTTTAAATGTTTCTATTTTCATTCTTTTTAATCTGTTGTACTTTTGAAGTTTTCATCAAGAAACAAACAGCAAATGTTTTCTCCAAGAGAGCTTGTCAGCTTTGATGTACGATGGTACAGATTCTAAGTCCAATGCTGCCCCCTGGAGGTGCAAATAATGTCTGCATGTTTGTGTGCGTATGTGTTTGTGTGTGTGTGTTTGTGTGTGTGTGTCCCTACTTTAGTCTGGAAGCAGCAGAAGAGCTGTGTCAGGTAGGGGTGTCTCCTGGCCAATGCTAAGATCCGTTTCTCAGTCATGGTGCAGTCCACGTCGTCGTCCTGCAGGATCACGTCTTTCTTCAGCACCTTGACGGCATAAACCTCGTCTGTGCCCTTCATCTCCGCCAGCATCACCTGGTCACATGACACAAACTCGTCTTTGTTTTCCGGTCCATCCTTTTCACTGCACATCTTACTGAATTTCACAAACAGAGCTGCAGAGGAAGTGAGCCCACCTTTCCAAAGCTTCCTTTCCCCAGAACTTTGATAAACACAAAGTCATGCAGGTTCATCCTCTTGGCCTCTGGAACGCTGTGACCTTTGACCTCGCCATTCGCCTGGCTTTCTTCGCTTTCCTCTCCGACGCCGTTCCCATCGCCTCCCGTGTGCGTGTCACACGTTACCGTGTCCACAGACGAGGAGGAAGACAGTGGGTGTGTTTTGTGCTCCTCTCCGCGGTGGTCAAACGACAGAGCCTTCCGGATGTTCTCCAGCTCCTTCACGTCTGCAAGAAAACCAAGAAAAATAAGAGCTGTGCTGTGTGTCTCCATTCTGTTTGCTCTTCAGAGTTTAATAGTCAGAAAATGTGCCTACCCTGATCACACGGGGAGGTGGGGGCAGACTTTGAGCGATCGTCTTCTATCTGAGGGATCCCTGATAACGGCTGCTGAGGATCCTGAGCCTGAGTAAGCTGTTCACAGAAAACATGTCCCCATCAACATTTTCATCAAGAACTTATGATTCACGGTCGGTATGTTAACACCACATGCAGGCGACAGCGAAAACGCTCATCTCAATCATAACAGGACTTCACACAGCAGCTGTTGACACACTAGTGCGTAGATCCATCTTTTAAGTACATGGTTTTTGAAGGACACATCCCCAGTGGGTACGCCCCTCAATTAGTTTCCACTGTTTATTCAGAAAAACCTTTAAATACCATTAAATATAACATTTAGAATAACTCTAAAGCCTCTTGAGAACAGTCTGGCATATTTCCAAACCTTTTTCCGTCTCTGGGCGCTGTTAGAGATCTTGTCTGGAGTGACTCCGAGGTCAGACAGGACTTTAGCGATCCCTCTGGCATCAACGCCACAGTTTGGGGCTACGTTGTTCTCACAGCGTCTGTGTACGTTCACCTTACAAACTGGGAAACGAAGCAAGAAGAGTAAGAACAGTTTCAGAACAGATTCTAGAAAGAGTTTATCCGAATGATAATATACAAACATCTTTAATTTGCTTACAGTTGTATTAACTAAACCACGTGCTCACCTTTACACTGGAGTCCCTGTCGCATCAGACCCCACAGCAGAGATCCACAGTGGTCACAGAAGGTGAGAACTTTAAAGTTGTGGATGCTGAACTTGTGTGGGACATTAACGCTGAATCTCTGAGACCCCACCTGCAGGATGCATCAAAGGACAGTAAGACAGACCTGCAAGGATCTAATGCTAGAGTGGTCCCTGACATTTTTAAGAATCCATGCGTAAGTTGTTAAAGTGTTTCACATCCGTACCTCCCCGACCATGTCGTCCTGCTTCTTCATGCCGGCACATTTGGTAATGATCAGCTCATGGCAGCGCTTGTGGACAACACAGGTACACACTGCAGCAGGTACACACATACAATGCACGCATTAACAGGTTTTACGTGTGATTAAAGTGCAGCCACTTGTAAAGGTAAATATTGTCTTACCTTGACACTGATAGCCCTGCTTTCCTAAAACCCCCCTACAATCAGACAGAGATAAGAGAAATGTTAAAAAAAAGTGTTGTGGAGTGCTGTCTTCATTTTTTTTACATAATTTAGACACTTTGATTCCCTTTTTCAAAGTTTATGTCACAATTTTAGAAGATTATTTAAGCTGTATTTAATAGAAAATAGAAGATCTGATTTAGAATTGTTACAGTACTTTGATTTTGAAGGTCAAGCTTTATTGCAAGCCCCATAAAGGTTATGAGTGAACATCAATGTCTGAATGATTATAAATCTCTTAGTAATGCTGGAAAACTAGTCCATTAATTTGTTACATCAGCTTCTACCAGAGCCTAGAAAAACGGCTTATCTTTCACCCGTATTAACTTCTCTTTACTTTGAATTTATAATCAGTCTTTCACAGATAAAGTCCTGAATGATGAGGACTCATTGTATTTGCTCAATGCAAATGTGCAATTATTTGCTCAATGCAAATAATTTTTTT